AAAAAATCCTTGTATCATATTTCTCTGATAAGGGTTTGGTATCCAAGATAAATAGTTAATAAATATACGCGATTAATAGTCATTCTTCAATAGATAATGGTCAAAGGACATGAAGCAGCAGTTCTCAAAAGAAGAATTGCAAAGTATTCACAACCACATGAAAGAATGCTCCAGATCACTAATAATATGAGAAATGCATATCAAAATAACTGTTTCATCTCACATCCTACAAATTGGCAAAGATGACAAAAATGTCAATACTCAATAGTGAAGGAGTTATGGAATGATAGGAACACTATAATATATTGTTGGTGGAGCCATGAAATGGTACAACCATTTTAGAAAGCCATTTGGAATTATGCAAATAAAGTGACAAATATATCCATATATATTGAACCAGAGACTCCATTACTGGGGCTTATACCTCAAGGAAGGCCATCAATAAGGAAAAAGTCCCCATATACTCCAAAATATTTATAGCAGCATTTTTTTGTGATAGAAAAGAATTGGAAACAAAGTAGATGCCCATGGGGAATGACTAAAGAAACTGTGATATATGAATGTAATGGATTATTAATGTACTGTAAGGAATTATGTATGTGATAAATCTAGAGAAGCTGGAAAGATCCACATGACCTAATGCAGTTAAGTAAGCAGAGCCAAGAAAACAATATACACAATAACTACAGCAATGTAAATGAAAAGAATAACCACACACCAAAAAAATCAAAAGTGAATATAACAAAATTATAAAGATTAAGCATAATTGGAATGAAGAGGTATGAGAAAATACTCCCACCTCCAGCCCCCTTCATGGAAGTCAGAACTCCAGAGGTGTTACACATTGAACATGTTTTCAGATTTTTTCGAAGTATTCATCAGTTGAGCTGATTTGTTCCTCTTTAATAAAAATATTGTTTGTTATATGGGAGGACAATGGGGAGGATATTAGAGATAATGATAATGATGTAGAAAATAGAAGACATCAAAAACTTATTTAAACATTAAATAAAATTTGACAAAGAATTTTCTGATCTATTTTGTTTTGTTTTCTGCTATTCCCCTAAGGAAATCTCCCTAATGACAAGAGATGATGATAATTATAGTCTGCATTATGTTGTATTTTATGGTTTACAAAGTGTTTTCTTTGTAATCTTGTGAAATAGGTAGTGCAAAAAGATGAACAAATTTCAAAAATATTTGTCCAATTTTTTAAAAAAACTACTTTGCAAATGGAAAAAATAAACACTTGCTCATTAATCACTTGATTAGGCAATAGAAATCATTGTAATTTTATTCTAGAGCCTTAGACATTTCAAAATATGAGTGGACAAAGAACTCATTCACTCTGGGAATATATTCATTTGGTTTTAATCCACCTGAACAAGAACTTAAGTACTTAAGTAGACTTAATCCGTGATGGTGTGTTGAAACAAGTATTTGAACCTGAAAATTTTATTATGTTTTAGACATGAGTGAAAATAGTTCTCTGGGTTAGCAAACAAAGCAATACAGATTTCACCATAGTTCATCACTGGGTTTTCTGCTGAGGCTGTTATAAAGATAGAGTCACAATCTCAATTGATAGTAAAAAAGAAATTACTAGTAACACTATCCTCAATAACATCACATTTAAGAAACTTTGTGCCAAAAAACAAGCCCATTCATTACATGAATAATATTATTTTTGTTATAAACATGAATATTATAAAGGATTTTGTCAATCACATTATGTGAAAGTTTAGTATTTTTGTCATAACACTTTAGTAAATGTTTGAATTCTATTTGAATTCAAAAATTCTGTTTGAATTAAGTGTGAGCTAAGAAAATTATTTATATGGGTTGTTTTATAAAAAGCACATGTAAGGAATGAAGTTTTTTTTAATTTAAGAAAATGGGAGCTAGTTACTAAAGTTCAGAAACAATTGTTTTGGGGGATAAGAGGACTCTAGAGTTATTTTTCAGTATTTGTGTACTGTTCAAGTTAAACCTTAAGAAGAACTGGGTTGAGGGGGAGGAATATGGGTGTTTCTTTTCTTGAGACATTATCAGAGCTACATTTTACAATGTATATACACAGACTTTTGGTTCAGGAAGTTTGGTGGGAAAAGACAAAAGATAACTGAATAGCAACCATAAATAGTAACAAGTTTTAAGATGAATTTTATTTAAAATTAGAGGAATCAGCCTGAAGTTTTTATGTAGCCTCTGTCCCACTTTGACTTTTAAGCATTTAATAAAGTGACAAGTCTGACTAAAGTTTTTTCTATAATTCATTACATTCCCAATTTCTGTTCTTTGGCATAACGTCGCTGATGTTGGATGACTGATGACTTTCGACTGAAAACTTTCCCACATACACTACATTCATAAGGCTTCTCTCCAGTATGAGTTCTCTGATGCCGACTAAGGTGACTTCTCTGGCTGAAGGCTTTCCCACATTCACTACACTCAAAAGGCTTCTCTTTACTATGAATTCTCTTATGTTGAGTAAGAGATGAGAGGCCAAAAAAGGCTTTCCCACATTCATGACATTCATAAGGTTTCTCTCCAGTATGTATTAACTTATGTCTAGTGAGTAGAATTTTCTGGCTGAAGACTTTCCCACACTCATTACATTCATAGGGACTTTCTGTAGAATGAATCCTCTGATGTCGAGTAAAAGATGATCGATCAAAGAAGGCTTTCTCACATTCATCACATTCGTAGGGCTTCTCTCCAGTATGAATTCTCTCATGTATGGTAAAGGATGAACGGTCAAAGAAGGCTTTCCCACAGTCATGACATTCATAGGGACATTGTCCTGTGTGAGCCATCTGATGTCTCCTTAGGCTACTGCTGTGTCTGAAGGCTTTCCCACACTCATTACATTCATAGGGCTTCTCTCCAGTATGAGTTCTCTGATGCCTGGTAAGTGACGAGCGATCAAAAAAGGTTTTCCCACATTTATCACATTCAGGCCCTCTGTCTTTATTGGGATTTTTAAGAGAGTTCATTGATATTTGCTTGAAACCTCTTTCACGGCAAAGAGATTTTCCCCATGGTTCCCCTTTAGCATTTTGTCTCTTTTTTTCCAACCTGTTTTTAGGTAGAAGATCTTCTCCTCTGAGTCTTTCTATTAAAATTCCTGGTGATTCTAATTCAGAAATATTCTGCTTCAGAAGGGATCCTTGCACTTCAATTCTACTCTCCAAGTCTGAAAAAAGACAACACAAATTTACTCTCCTTGCTAGAAAAAAAAGGAAAACATTTTTATGGAAAGAGGATAATGAAATCAAAAGTAATTCCTACTAAGATACTGATGGTACTGGACAAGTTTTTTAAAAAGCCTGGTAAACTATGGAAAGGTTAGCGAGTAGAAGAGGAGTTGTGAACAGGTAGAACTTGGTGGAGGGAAGGTAATTAGCAAAGTAAGCAGAAAATATGAGAGCCTAACCAGGAACAGAGGCAGCTAGGTGGTACAGTGTTTAGAGTGCTAGGCCTGGAATCAGGAAGACTCACCTTCCCGAGTTCAAATCTGGCCTCAGATGCTTACTAGCTGTGTGACCCCGAGAAAGTCACTTAACCCTATTTGCCTCAGTGTCCTCATCTGTAAAATGAGCTGGAAAAGAAAATAGCAAACTACTCCAGCATCTTTGCCAAGAAAATCCCAAATGGGGTCATGAAGAGTCAGATACAACTAAAACAAGTAAACAACAACAAAAAACCAGGAATGTGGTAACATATAACTCCCTCATGCTTAAAAAGAGGCCAATGATGAGTAAGGACTAGGATAGGATCTGGAAGTTAAATGGTGGTCTCTGGAGAGGATAAACAGAGACAAAGAACTGGAGGCTGGCAAAATGAGAGCAAAGGCCCCACCAACACTGACACAGGAGGAGGAGAGATTTTATATCTGGGTCCATTGCAATGGACCTTTGGGCCTTGGGGCCATGAATATGGCCCCTCATTAACCCTCTGGGTTCTTCCTTCCAGTGCGTCCTCTCTGTCTGGCTTCCATATCAATCATATACTCACCTTGATAGATATTTCTTGGGACCTCTTTCTCTTCAGTTCTCTGCAGATCAAATGCCCAAGGCTCCTTCCCTTGTCCCACTTGGAAGATCATATCACATGTAGAAATGGGAAGCCCTGTTTATACAAAAAAAGGAGGAAACACAGCAGTTTGTCCTGGAGACAGACTGTCCCAGAAGTCAGTCTCAGATCCTTTTTTTTTTTTTTTGCTTAGGTAGGGATGTGAAATATAGACTCATATAATATGAGCATTGGAAGGATCTATATCCATCTAGTCCAAGCCCTTCATGTTCCAGGTGAGGATATTGATATCATTACATGTGAGGATATTAAGAAGTGCCTGACTTCATAGAGATCAAATCATTAATACGCAGTAGAGCTGGGATGAGCCCCGTTCTCCTGACTTTAGCATACTATGGTCCTTCCTCACTGAGAAAGGACAAGACAGAAAAATTCAAAGGGAGTTAGAGAAATTTCTGATGGTGGCTTAGGCAGGTGTTTCCAGGGCCCTTGGGAACAAAAGACAGGGAAGGTTATAGCCTTAGATGGTTGCCAATTTTCAGTTCTATGAATGGGAGCATTTACATCTTCCAAAGGGAAGTAAGTACCTGGTCTCTGAGTCCAAAAAAGGTTATAAATCTCTGGCCTGTGAGCAATTCAAAGGCTCCATAGCTATTAACTAACAATTCTCTCTGATATACCTGTACCTCAAGATTTGTTGAAATGGGGGTCTCTACCTCCTCTATCTTGCTGCCTTCTAGACCTTGCCTGGCCCCCTTCCTGCCTGGTGTTTTTTTTTAACTTTGCAGGCACATTGAGTCTGTACTTTCCTTAGTGCATATGGCCATCCTCATCACATTCTCTTTCTATAATGTGCCCTTCCTCTCCCATCTCTGAGATCCAGTTTTAGAGTAGGAAGTTTTCTTTGTCTTTATCAGTCCAGGTTTCCTCATAGGCTACAAAACAGATCCATACTGTTGTCACCTCCCTCCTGTTTAAGTCCCCATGCCTCTGACCTCAGAAAAATCCTATTTTTCTTCCCTAAACTATCGATTTTTGCTATATAGCCTGCAATAGAGATTCTGATGGGCTGTTCTAAGTTTTGTGTGTCTGAGATGCTATAGGAAGCTCTTGTTTGCAGACACATTGTTCAAAAATTCTACATATGCTCTTTATTCCTTTTCTATCCTTTCTTATCTATCCTATCCCATCACCATATGCCCTGCCCCCTCCACACTCTACTTCTAAATCTGTAGGCTTTCTCTGTACTAGAAATGTTCTTTCTGTTTCTGTTCTAGAGGCACAGAGATGTTCTGAGGTCCTCATCTTCTCCAGCACTCCATCTTTTATCTGGTCCAAGAGAGGCTCCAAGAGAGCCTCATTATCACTTTATAGTTAGGTAGCAGGCACTGGGGATTCAAAACATTTCCTACAGACACCGTTACGGTCCTCCACTCAAATCCTTCTTAGAGGCTTCAACATCATGGCATCAACACGGTGTTACACTAGGTTCTCAGAAGGCATCCCCACACACTCTCCCGAGCTACAAAAGCTTTAAATACAGAGCTATGGCTGGCCTGGATGTCTGTGAAGCTTAGCTGAGTTAAGGGAGCCCCATTGCCAATTTATTTGCTGGGTGGTACATTTTTTGGCCACGGAGAGTCATAAAGACCAAGTTGTAGAGGGATAGGTATCTGCCCTGGTTGAAGAGAGAACTCATGTGAACAGGAGCACAAATCCTTGGAGTAATGATATAAATCTTAATTATACTTCTTACATAAGTGCAACATAGATAACTTCAGTTCACCTGTCTGTATTTACTTAGCTTTTTTCAAGGTTCCACTCAGGCATCACCTCCTATAGGAAGCCTTTTCTGAAGTCTCCCCAGTTCCGAGTACTCTCTCTTGGCTTCTGTTTTATTATCTGTGTATGTGCATGGCCCAAGTATAATTTAAGCTCCATTGCACTGCTATTTATTTCCAACTTTACTGTTCCCAGTGTCTATCCAGTACAGTGCCTTCTTACATATTAGGCACTTAATGAATATTTGTTAAATTAATTCCATTTAGCAAAGAGCTGCATTTTCTTACTACAGGGCAGATTCTGAATCACAGGATGAAGCCGTCCTTACCCAGGGAGATGAGATTTCTGTAGTTCTCCAGCATCACATCTCTGTACAGGTCCCTCTGAGCAGGGTTCAGTTGCCTCCATTCCTCTTGGGTGAAGTTCACAGTTACGTCCTTGAATGTCACCAATTCCTGTAATAAGCACAATCTTGCTCACCCATGGATGCCTCATTCCAGGGAGAAGAGAAGTAATTAAAGGCATTTAAGATAGGTAGAATAGATAGGCAAGGAAGTGGTTTGTATGATGTTAATGGTTCTAATGTGGATTAGGAAGAAGGTTGGGACCAGTGATCTGAAACAGAAAGTACTTTGTCCCCAAGACACTGTGTCTAACACTAGGCTTCAGTGAGGCTGAGCATCAGATAGAGTACTCCTTATAGTGTATCATTTACTAAGGTTCTGAATGCACATTCTTGGGGATGAAGAACTGGGGTTCTGAACCCTGGAATGGACACAACTGGACAGAGAATTTCCATGACAAGGGAAAGAAAAAATACATATGCTCTGGACACTGTGATTTTCATTTCAGGGAAGAGAGAAGAAAGACCAATAATTCACCTGAGACTCAGGAGTCATTTTCTTCTTTATCTTCTTCTGTGTTCCCTCTTGGAGAAAGGTCAAGTCCTGAAGATACAGGGCTGGTGGTTGAAACAGAGGCCTTGTCTTTTAGTTCCCAGATTCAAGAGGCTTAGAAATCACTAAATCACAGGCTGGTGTAATTTTTTCCATTTTTCCAGACCCTACAAAGAGGGAAGCCAGAAAAGAGCACAGACAGAACTACTCCGCCCTCTCCAGGGGTCAGAGTAAACTAGTAGCACATGGCAGGGGATGGATAGAGCAACCAGGCTTGAAGTCACAGCTTTGTCATCAACAAGCTGTGCAATCTGGAACATGTAACTCAAGCTTTCTGTGCCTCAGTCACCTTCTTTTTCATTGAGGGAAACTGTTTCCTATCCTTTTCCTTATCCCACTGGCTATATAAAGAATCATTACTCACATCTCCTGTGGGGCCAGATGACATTGTAGCATTAGGACTAGGGAGGAGGCTCAGGAAAGGAGAAAGAGCATAAAATGAAGGACTAGAACCTTTGGGCTATTATTCTGGTCTTGCCGTGCACTAGTGATTTGACTTTGGGTGAATTATGTAACCTCTCAATTACTATCCATGAAATAAGAATAATCAATCAATCAATATTTATTAAGTACCTACTACATGCCAGGCACTGTACCAAGTGCTGGGGATACAAAGAAGGGCAAAAGACAGTCCCTGCCCTCAAGGAGCTTACAATCTAATGGGGGAAACAACAAGCAAACAAATATATAAAAAGCAAGCCATATACAGGATAAATAGTCAATGATTAACAAAGGGAAGGCATTAGCATTAAAAGGAGTTGGGAAAGACTTCCTGTAAAAGATGGGATTTTCACTGGAACTTAAAGGAAGCTGGAGAAGCCAGTTGGCAGAGTTGGGGAAGGAAGGGATTCCAGGCATAGAGGACAGCAAGAGAAAAAACCCAGGGCTGAGAGATGGAGTGTCTCCATTTTATATTCATACAATGCTAAATAAAGTAATGAGAGTGATTCCACAAAATACCTGTGAAAATCAATTTCATTACTTCTTAGTAACAACTCATTTCATAGCATCTAGGAGCTGAAAAGAAACTCAGAGGGCATCTGGTCCAACCTGTACATGAAACAATTTCTCTTTAACATAGTGGACAAGTCATCAACCAGTCTTTGTTTCATGACCTCTAGTGAGGGAGGAAACTACTATCTACTCAGGCAGTTCATTCCACTTTTGGATAGCTCTAAATGTTAGTGTTTTCTTTCTTTTAGCCTAAATCTGCCTCTCTTTATCTGCTGTTGCTTGGAAAGTTCTTAGCACAATACCAGGCACATAGTAGGCACTTCATAAATATTTGTTCTCTTCCTCCTTCCCTTTTCCTTATAGGGCTAAACAGAATAAGTCTAATACCTTTCCACAGAACAACCCTCCACATCCCTTCTAAGACTTCTCTTCTCAATTAATCAATCAAGATGCATTTATTAAGCACTATATGCCAGGGGAGGAACTATTGTTCCTGTACTATTGGGAAGGAACAATATATACATGAAATAGAATATACAGTATTATGCAAGGTAATTTGGGTACTTGTTGTCTCCATTTCCTCAGCTACTAACTCATTTCCCAATCCCTTGAAATCTGACTTCTGACCCTACCACTCAACTGAAACGGCTCTCTCTAAGGTTATTAACAATCTCTTAACTGCTCAATCCATTGGCCTTTTCCCAGTCCTCACCCTTCTTGAGTTCTCAGCTATTTTTGACATCTTTCACCACTCCCTCTTCCTAGACTTTGTCCTTGGCTACTCTGATACTGCTCTCTCTAGGTTTTCCTTTTCCCTTTCTGACCACGATTTCTCAGTCTCCTTTGCTATATTATCATCTATGGGCTTCTATGTGCTACATGCATGGGTATACCTCAGATCTATCTTGACCCCTCTTCTCTCTTCTCTCTATATTCTTTTTTGGTAATCTCAGTAGTTCCCATGGATTCATTATCATCTCTACACAGATGACTATCAAATTTGTATACCCAGATTTAATCTCTCTTCTGAGTTCCAGAGCTTCATCACCAAGTATATCCTGGATGTCTCAATTTGGATATCTCATAGATATTCCAAACTCACCACGTCTAAAATGGAACTCATTATATTCCCCTGTGAAACACACCCATCATATAGCTTTCTCCATTTCTATCGATGGCACTGAAATCTTTCTAGTCAACCAGATCTTCAATTCTTCACTCACTATCTAATCAACCTCTATATCCAACCAGTTCCCAAGTCTTGTCAATTCTGCCTCCACCACACCTCTTTTATCTGCTTCCTTCTCCACTCATACAACTAATCACTCTAATTAAATCTCTAATCATCTCTCAATTGGAATATGACAACAGCTTCCTAATCACTGTCCCTGCCTTCACTCTCTTGCTTCTTGAATCTATTCTCCAAATAGCCACCAAGCTGATAGTCTTAAAATGCAGATCTGACCATCTTAATTCCTACTCAAAAATCCTGAATGGTTCTCTTTTGCATTTAGTGTAAAATACTAAATCCTCAGTGTGGTATTTAAAGGGAGCTCTCCACAATCTGGCTCCCACCCACCCTTCCAATCTTATTTCATATTAGTCTTCTTCATATATTCTCCATTCCAGGCAAATGGACCCATGCAGGTTTCTTACACACAACATTTCGTCTACCATTTCCATGTCTTTACACAAATGGTTCCCCCATATGTAGAATGTACTTTCTCCTCACCTCCACTTTGTAAAATCACTAGCTTCCTTCAAAAGTATAGCTCAGGTGCTATACTTTCCTGAACCTTCCCCACCTCCAGCATTTATTAGCATTCTTTCTTTAAATTCTTTCTATTACTTTGTGTTTATTTTTTTACAAATTGTATTTCCAGTAGAATGTAAGCTCCTTGAGGGCAGGAACTGTTTTGTTTTTGTCCTTCTATCCCCAGCGCTAGTAGAGTGCTTTGCACATAGTAAGCAATTAATGTTTGAAGAACTAAATTGACAGTGTAAGAGAAACGAGCTGAAGGTAGAAAGAGTCATGTCTGGGATGCAAGAGAATCCGCAGAAGTCATATTCAGAGAGGTAGGAAGAGAATCTGACCAGTATTCATACTATGCATCTTGCTTCTAAAGAAAAGACAGACTTTGGTAAATAAAGAGAAGATACCGTGAAGGCAATTTATAGCATTCTGAACTTGTGAAGAAGGCCAAAAGCTGAATCTTGGGGGAAGAAATTTCTGGAGATATTGAGGGAAAACAGAAAAAAAAAAAAGTCAACTCAAGCTAGATGAGAAAAAAATATGAGGAAAAAGGACTCAAGAAAGAAGAAAGGATTTCAAGAACTTTCAAGAAGAAAATAGTAATTAGGCAAAGTTAAAAAAAAAGTTAAGGAAAACAAATGAGTGAGAGGGTCTAATATTTGTTTAGAGAAAAGTAAGTTAGGTGTGGCTGTCAAAATGTTAAGGGGTAATAAAAAGTAATAAAGGCAGTCAATCTGTAATGGATATAAAGATATTTAAAAAGATGGCAAGAAGTAGATCAATTAATGGTAAAAATGGGGAAATTTTGCAATGACTTGAATTGAATATGATGTCTGTTTTTAGCCACAGCCAAGTGACTGCTTATGCTCCAAGTACAGGCTGGTCTCCCCTCTTAAAAGAAAAGGTAAAAAAAAGCTTGAAGAACACCTGTCCATACTCCAAGGAACAAGAAAGCATTCATTTAAAAAAAAAAAAAAAAAAAGCAAAAACCAACCCAAAGAAGGAAAATTCATATGAACTGACGTACAGCAAAACAAACAGAATTAAGAGAATGTACATGACTGCAATGTAAAGGAAAAGATTGTTAAAAGAAAATCAAATTCTAAGTAATTGAAAGATGGAGCCATGACAGTTGTGTACAAGGTGTTTGAAGGGTTTTCATTGTGGAAGAGGGATTACACTTATTCTATTTGACCCTACAGGGCAGAATTAGAAACAGGGGGGAAAAGCTGAAATAGAGCAAATTTAGGTTTAATTATTAATAATTATTATTAAGGCTTTTGAAAAGTAGAATGAGCTGCTGGAAGAGGTAGTAGGTTTCCCCTCTTTTGGGGTCTTTAAGCAGAGATTGGAAGGTCACTTGCTGGGTGTGATATAATGGGGATTATTTTGGGGGTGTGGGTTGGACTTCATGGGCACTGAAGTTCCTTATAACCCTGAAATTCTGTGATTCTTTCATTTGGAACACAGCACCATGGAAGTCAAGGAAACAAAGTTTCACACATCATTCCATCTTTTCTCATTTCCTCCAGACACTCCCCCATTTTTATCATTCCCTTTAGAATCTCTTGGGCTGATCAGACAGGTAGGAAGAGAACCTGGAGCAAGCCAATATCGTGAAAGCCCAGGATGAAGAGAGTGCCCAGGAGGAGGGAGCTTATGTAGATGTCAAATGCTACAGAGAAATCAAGGAGTCTGAGAACTGAGGAAAGGCCATTATATTTGGCAACTATGGTCTCTTAGTCTTCTTCATTGGCAGTCTTGGAACAGTTTCAGTTGAGTGGTGAAGTAGGAAGCCAGGTTATAATGTGGAGGAGGGGTACGAGAAGGAGGAAAGATTTGTAGAGGGCTTCTTATAAGAACTTGACTGTGAAGAGGACTAAAGAAAAAGGACACTATTTTAGGGAATGATTGGGTCAAGTGAAATTTTCATTATTGTTTTTAAAAAGATTAGAGAGATCAAGAAAGGAGTCAGTAGGTAGGAAGAGATGGAAGATTCTAGAGGGAATGATCAAAGGCAGGGAGTGGCTGGAGGAAATGAGAAGAGAATGGCACGTGAGTTTGGCATTTAAACACCTTTACAAAAACCCATTCTTCCAGGCTTATTTTACTTTACTCTCTTTTAATTCACTCTATATTCCAGTTAAACTGGCCTGATGGAATTCAGAATTCCTTCTCCCATCTCGGTACTTCTACAAAAATTGGCCCCCATGCCTGGAATGCACTTCTTCTTCCCCTCTGCCTCCTAAAATATCTGGTTTCCTTTAACGTTCAGCTCATGGGCCATTTCCCACAGGAAGCTTGTCATGAACCCCTAGTCCTTAGTGCCCCTTCCTCTTCAAATTATATTGCATACATTTATCTGTTTACATGCTGCATTTTCCCAGTAAAATATAAGCTACTTTTTTTGTTTTTGTTTTGTTTGTCTTATCTTGGTATCTAGGATAGTATCTTGCAGGTAGTTAATAAAAGCTTTTGTTGGATTGGATTGGAAGGACTGTGTGATAGAGAGTACTGAAAGAGTTCAAATAATGTATTAATTCCTGAGAGACATCAAGTAGAATGGGGCCTGAGCAAATACCACTGGACTTGGCAATTAGTAGGCATTTTTCATGGGGTTAGTAGTACAGTTAACATCTGCTTACATGTTGATTAGTAAATTGTTATATACTCTGTTAATGAATGACAGTAGAACCTTATTCATGATAGCTGTGTCCAGTTATGTATGTGACTATGGTAGCAATTCCATTAAGACAACACTATTAATATCTGGCACTACAAGATATGATGGATGTAGGCATGAAATAAATTTCCTGGCAATTTTAAAGATTTCATTACAACTTGTCCATATCCTTTAAAAATCTAAATGATGGGAAACTTTCATAAGTGAGTAATATTTTGATAAGAAGAGGGAAAGGGGGAGGAGCAGCATAATGAAGTTGACAGAACACTGCATCTGAAAACAGAAGAGTTGATTCCAATCCCAGGCCTGCCATTTACCATCTCTCTGACCATGAACAAGTCACTTCCCTCCTCTAGGTCTTAGTTTCTTCATCCAGAAAATGAGAGTTTTGGACTAGCTGAATTGCAAGTTTCCTTCCAACTCTAGAATCCTATGATCCTAAAGCACCGGAAACACATGGCATATGGCATGAGCAAAGGTATGGAGACAAGAAGGAGTATTGTGCACATGTAAATGGACAGCAGGAAGGTTGACTTGTTATAGCTGAGGATGCATAACAGAGCAAAGCAAAAAAAAAAAAAAATGGACTAGATAGGGCAGGTGGTTGATTATGCAAGATTTTAAGCGCTAGCTTTGAAGCCAGGAAGACCCCCTAGGTTCAAGTCATATCTTTTGACACATACTGGCTGTGCAACTCTGGGCAACTCATTTAACTTCTAGCTCTAGGCAAATCTCTACATTGGTAGAGAAAATTTCCTCACTTGGGAGTTTCCTTTACAAACGAAATCACAGGTCCTGTGCCTCTCCTTATCTTTGAATTAAATAATTGCTCACATTCCTAATACAATTATGATTATAAAGTTTTAAATATATTATCTAATGACCCTGTCCTGTGATCTGTTGTAGAATATAAACTCACACTCACCCCATGATGAGAAATAGAATGTAAATTCTTTGAAGGGTGTAGGGTATTTTTTTTTTTGGTATTTGTAGCCATGCCATCCATAACATGGCAATTTGCATGTACCACTTACAAAAACAACAACAACAACAAAAAATGGATCTAGGGGTATATGAAAGGACCCATTTTGCTGGGAACCAACTGACTTGCCCTTGCTCACTCAGTGACTAGTAAGAAACAGAACTGTAGCTCAAATCCAGGTCTATCTTATTGCAAATCTAGTGCTCTTTCTACCACACCCATACTGTCAGGACATTGACAGTTTGAACATTCTAAAATGAGCAGTAATGGGACTCTTTTTTTAAAAAAATCGATAATTTTTTTTTTGTTATTCTGAACTTGACAAACACCAACAAAAATGAGCACTACTACCATATGCAAAGAAGAACAGAAAAAAGTTGCATATGAATTCTCGAATCTCTATTACATACAGTTGGCTTTTAATATATATATACATATAATATATATGTATGTATAATAAATTTAACATCTTAGTTTCAAAGCAGTGTCTTCCTTCACCCACTGTAGACTCTCGAACTAGGTAATGACTGATTGAATTGAAGAGAGACGAAAATGAACCAAGCGTGGCAGATACTGGAGTCTGTAAGACCTGCCAGACGGAGGTGAAAGTGATGGAGGAAGAGAAAATGGCCAAGTAGAGCACATCTTCTGGTCTAAAGGATGGAAAAGACAAGAGCTAGCCACACTCGGACAGAGGGGATGAAGCACGGGGAGGGGTCGCTGGTGCCAGCCTGGCCGCTGGGGGCGGGGGCAGGGGTGGTGCCAGGCTCAATCCACACCCGCACACCTGCGCACACAAGCCAGGGAGGAATTGGGAGAGGGTTCCGAAGGTCTCATTTAAGGCTCAGCGGGACGGAAGGGGATTCTCCAGCGGCTCCTCGAGCCCCCGCCCCTGGCACGGGACCCGCACGCCAGCACAACCCCCGCTGGCTTCTAATGACACAATCATTCACGCACACACACGCACACGAGTGGGGGCACAGAGCAGCCTTTACCTCCGGACCAAGGCTGGTCCACAGTCCTACCCTCCCGCGCCACCAGGGTACGCCTGCGCGTGTAACCCCCAAGGTGAGCCCCCAATTTCTTCAGACCACTGTTTCCTGCTCCCGGACTCCATTTCCCATAGGCCTCAGTGGCGCCCTGCGCCCCAGAAAGGCCTGGAGGTGGAATCTGGGAAGTTGAGTGCGAGCGTCTGCTGGGCTCAGTGCATTCTGGGTAATGTAGTCCTGCATTCCGGGTCTGAGCAGTTCCCCTGCCTGGGAGTTCTACCTCTTCTTTTCTCCTACTCCTTCACATCCACAGAAGACCCAAAGGCTTGGTGCAAGCAATAGCACCTGTTTGGTTTAAATTATCTTAGTTTGACTGCATATTGATATGTTACTCTCGCTCGAGGTACTCCTCCCAAATCTAAGCATATCAGTGAAGTGTTGGGCACTGGTTATTTAAAAATTAAAAAACAAAAAAACAAAAACTACGTAACACTCAGCGAAAGCCTTGGAGAAAGTTACAGCACAGAGATTTTAAAGTTGGGGGCATTCAACATCAAATGAAGGAAACTTCAGACGAGAGGAGAGCCGGGAAGGGTTATTTGTGGAGCACCCCCCACTCTGCACTACTCCCCCAAATTGGCGTTGGCACTTTTAGGTCGGGTTCCCAAAGGGGTGACTATTCTCAAGCTCAATGGGACTGCACTTCTCACACTAGAAGAACTCAGGAGATAGTTCCTAGCAAAGTCATTTATTGAAATGATTCTCCCCCGTGTCTCCACACCTCCTCCACAGCCTACTTACCTTACCATCACTAGACCACATATATTTCGCTCTCCTTTCCTGTTCTGGAACCATTTGCTGTTGTTGTTGAGTCATTTCAGTTGGGGCTGACTTTTTGTGACACCATATGGAGTTTTCTGGGCAAAAATATTCGAGTGATTTGCCATTTCCTTCTCCAGCTCATTTTACGGATAAGGAAACTAAGGCAAAGAGTTAAGTGGCTTGCCCAGGATTATGTAGCTAGTATATGCCTGAGGCCAGATTTGAACTTTGGAAGATGAGTCTTCCTTACTCCAGGCCAGACACCTTATCCACTACTCTGCTGCTGCTCCTGAATGGAGAGTCAATCTACTCAGCCACTTTTCTGGACCAAAAGGCTAGCACTCTACCATGTGTGTGCTTTTTTCCCCATTAGAATATAAATTCTTTGAGAGCAGAGACTGTCTTTGCTTTTGCATTTCTATACCCAGTGCTTCACAAAAGGTAAAAATGGTAATAAAGGCTCTAGAGGAAGAAAGCCCTTAGAATGTGGTAAGCTTTACCCTATAAATGGATTCCTTGAAAACTAGAATAGACCAAATAGACATCAATGGCTCCATGTGACAGCAAGAAATAATAGGAAAAAAATAAAAGATTTGAAAAAAAAATAGAAGAAAATGTAAACTATCTGATATAAAAAACTGACCTGGAAAATAAGTCAAGGAAGAATTTAAAGATTATTGGATTTCCTGAAAACCATGATTAAAAAAAAAAAAACTATATTTCCAAAAATTATAAATAAAACTGTCCTGCTTATAAACACTATCATTTTGGGGTAATGAGTTTATCAAACACTATTTCTGGATTTTAAAAATTCTGTTATATTGATCTGATTTTTCCCCCCTAGCATCAGGTTTTTAAAAAAAATGTTACTTATATTTTGAAATCTGGTTAGGTGAGCCTCCTTTCACTGATTTTCTTCCTAGTTCTTGATATTCTCACCTGGTTTTCCATTTGAATTTTGTAATGACTCTGGTGTTATATTAAATCTATATGAAGGACTTCTGGGTCATGTGAGCCACAAGATGGAGGAAGGACTAGATATTTTCTCTGACCCCCATACTTCTTAAATGTCTCCAAAATAGAAATTATGCAGCAAAGATAAAACAACTTCAGCTGTTTCTGTGATCTACAACACCCAGAATCCAAAAGAAGGTTAAAAACAGTATCTCAAACCCATGAATACTCACTGACCCTGAACTCACTCAGCATCCTTCTCTCATCTTCCACACTACTTGTAGTGAGACTGTAGGACCTGAAACAGGCTACAGAAGTTTGCTCCAGTTGTGACAGCAACTTTAACCACAGCCCTTCAAGAGCAAAAACCTACCAGGTGCTATAGGCAAAAACAACCCTATAGCACCAGGACTGCTAATCTCTGAATTGGCATTGTTAGGGAAAACAGTGCTACAAAGCTCTGACCTGCCTATCCTGGGCCAGAAAACTGAGGAAGAGAGGGAACAGAACAGGATACCATGTTAGGGGTGAGAAATCTGTGTAGCACTCCTTAAGCTTGAGGGAAAGAGAATAGCATGCAACTGAAACCAGTTCTGACCACCCAAAAGTCATTTGGGGTAGAGATCTAGGCTGGTGAACCATGAAAAATTGCCCAGTGTGAGAGGAAGTTGAAGCTTTGTGATCCATTTCCCAAGGAAACCAACATCAGAAGGGACAGGGAGCAAAAAAAGACAAATTCCTAAAGATCTCAGAAAAAAGAAAACTCAAAGACTTTGAATACAAGCAGATAAATCCACAGGGAAAACTAACAACAGAAAGAAATACGGCCTTCACATCTAGTAAAGGAGTTCAGATAAATTCTGCAAACCAAAGGAATACGATCCAATGCTTGATGAGACAGAGGACCCCATGGAATGTGAAAAGAACATAGAACCATAACATGCTGTTCTTGAGTGGTTCATAAGAGCAATGAGAATTATAGGGCAGAATTTGTGACCTGCACAGCAAAAAATAATGGGCAGAATAGAAAAATGAGAATCTTTGTTAGCAAGTCTCACCAAAGAAACAAAAGAGAGAACAATAGATTGGGAATGTAAATGTACAGAAGTGAAGTACTACATAGAAGAGAAGCAAAAAAAAAAAAAAATTAAAAGAAAATATGCTTACAGGCAAGCAAAACAAATTGATCTCAAAGACAGGATGTGTAGAGACAACCTAAGGATCATAGGTCTCCTAGACAAACATGATAGGCCAAAAATCCTTAATGCCATAATGAAGGAAATAATACAAGAGAACTACCCCAAAATTCTGAACAAAGAAAATGAAATGTCCATTGAAATAACTCATATATCATCCCCAGGGGGAAGAAAAAATCCCAAGGCCACAAACTCCAAGGCACATAACGGTTAAATTTAATAATTCAATTAAGAAACTAGATTCCACATGTGATCAGGAGAAAGACCTTTAAATACAAAGGATAGGAAATTCAAATAATGCAACACTATCCAGCACCCACCAGAAAATGTTGGAGGGAATGGAATGATGTGTTCTGAAAAGTAATGGAGCTCAGGATGTAGCCCATGGTGACATAACCTGCAAATCTGAGCTTAACCATACATGAAAAAAAAAAGATGGACATTCAATAATAATAAAGAGGCTTTTGAAACATTTTTAGAAAGAAAACCAGAAGTGAAGTAATTATTTGCTTTTCAAATACCCCAAACAACAGAAATGCAAGAGGAGTGAATAAATACAGCCACCAAGAATAACAGAGTGACAGCACAGACTCCAGACGGGGGTGAAGGCAGAAGTCTAATGGATGTAACAATGAAGAGACACACAGGGCTATTATGGACAAAACCTGATGACACCCTGCCTACAAGTGAATCAATGCTTTTTTGGGGGACTCATTACAACATGAGAGGTTACATAAAATGGGGGGAGGGAAGCAGGGCACAGAGAGAAATGTATGATGTGCCAGGGTTAAATCAAGGGCTAGCAAAGAGGGGAAATGACCCTTGTGGTTTCAGCAAAAGAAGAGCCTATAGGGGACTAGGTAAGGAGGAAGGGGGAAGGATTGAAAAGGAGTAGAAAGGAAGGAGGTCTTGCTTAAGTGGTGGGAGGGGGAATGACTTGTATTCTTATAAAATTAACTCAGTTGTTTATATATTTGAGAAATGAGGCCTTTATCAGAAACACTTGCTATAAAATTTTTTCAGTTATGATTACTGTATATTTCCTTCCATCCTATTTTCGCTATTTATCCTGCTTTCTCTTTCCTTTCATCCTGTTCCCCCTCAAGAGTGTTTTGCTTTTGACCACTGCCTCCACCAAACTGCCCTCCATTTTATCAGCAACCTCCTCTTCTATTATTCCTTTCCCCTTTACCTCCTACTTCCCTGTAGGATAAGATAAATTTCTATACCCAACTGAGTGTATATGCTACTCTCTCTTTGAGCCAATTCTGATGAGAGTAAGGTTCAAACATTGTTTGCCACCCCTCCAAATCTTCCCCTCCTCTGTTCAAGCTCTGTTCTCTCTTTTATGTGAGATAATTTACTCCATTCTACCTCTCCCTTCCCCCTTCTCTCAGTGCATCCCTCTTTTTTACCCCTTAATTTTATTTTTTAGATATCATCTCATCATATTCAACTCACATCCATGCCTTTCATCTATGTATACTCCTTCTGTGGGCCAGAAAATTTCAATCTGTAATAAAAGTCACTGAGAAAAACTCCAAGCATAACTAATCAATTTATTAGGGAGTCTAGAGGCCCCTATTAACTGGGTCCAATATCTTCCTCATGATCAGGAATCCTTCCCTTTGGGTGTTAGTTACTTTTATACATTTGGAAGGGCACTAAAAATAGAATGAGGTATTATAATTCACTGATTGGTCAATTCCAGAGGATGATTTTGTGACTGAGTGCCTTGAATGTAGGATTCACTTCCCTTGATCTTTAAGTTTGACCCTTATTTTAAATATTTTAAGGAAATATTCCCATGTGATTCTCTTAAATATGAGGGTTGGATTCTTTTCTATATCATACTTTTTAGGGAGTCTGATGATATTGATGTTCTTTCACCATGCTTTTCCCTCAAGATTGATCTCCTTTCTCCAATATTAAATCCAACATCAAGAAGGAGGCTGGAAGAATCAGCAAACCAAAAAAAAAAAAAAAAAATCCCTCCATAAAAAGCTATTATAGTGAAAAGGATGGTTTAGACACAAACTCAGAAGAGAATGACTCCAAAATATTTACAAGCAAAACCTCCAAGGAAAACACTATTTGGACACAGATTCAACCAGAATTCCTTGGAAAAGATGAAGCAAAAGTTTAAGGGGGGA